TAGATGATTCTATGATTCTATGATTCTATGATTCTATGTTACCACAGAGGTGCTGCCACCAGTGCTGATGGGGTTAGCTTTGGCCAGCAGCAGGTCCATCTTGGAGCTGTCTGGAACTGGCTTTGTCGGATATGGGGCAGCTTCTAGCATCTTCTTACAGAAGCCACCCCTGCACACCCCCCACTACCAAAACCTTGCCATGTAAACCCAATACTTTCCAACATCTGTAACAAACAGAAAAGACCAAAACCAGAGCTAGTAATGTCCTACTGACAAAGAGCAAGAAAGATCAAGGACAAACCTGTGTATTAGCAGGAACAAAGAATGTATTAAATACAATTTCTACTAAACAGACCATGCCCTGTGCTACAGACAACGACAAAAGAAACACCAGTTCTCCCAAATAATCTTATCTTTGGGGGAAAAAAATCCCTTCTGATCCAGAGCTCCTGTTTCAATGACCTCCAGAGTGTGAACAGCACATACCAGCCTGGGAGATGTCAATATCCCCCCGGTAGCACCAGTGCATCCAGCCATGCTTCCTCTTGTGGCCAATCGCTGGTGCTACAAAGGAGAACAAACTAAAATCTATGAAGGCCATAAATCAACACTTTGGGTAGAGAAAGCCCAAACAAATTCATATTTGGGAGCACCATACTCCATGAGTCTTTGGAAGTGCTAGTTGCAAAGTCTCTTTAGTTATAGTAATTTTTTTTTTTTAATCAAATAGGTTCAGGTTTAAGGCGGCCATATAGCACCACAACAGTAAAAAATTACTTGTTAAATAGCACATATCTTGCTGGGTGGGTCTAAGCTGTTAGTTTTCCAGTTTAGTTTGCCCAGCTGCCTCCCTTGCTATTCCTACTCCTATAACTTGAGAAGTTGAAAGAGTTAGAAAGGGGCTTCACCCACTGAGCACAGGAGCTGTTGCCTGCTCTGCTTTCCCCTTACATTTTTATGTGCTCTGAATTCTCTAAAGACGACTATTGCCTGTGCTCTAGCAGTAAAACCCCAGAAAAATGATCAGGAAGAATGCAGATTACTGTTCACACTGGGATTGCAGTTTCCCCCTATTAGTTTGAGTAAACTGAAGAATCTGTGGTAGAGTGCAAGGTGTCTGAAGCATCTCCTTGAATCATAAAAAGGGAATGATTTATTCAGCTACTACTTATCTATTTCACCATAGTGAAATGGTTTACATAGTTTTTAAAGCTCTGTACTGATTGCTCAGGAATCTGCACAGTGCTGAAGAAATCCTAAAAATATTCAGGATCTTCCTGGTGGTTTCCTAAATGTTCCACATGGTGCAGCAAAGTGGAATTTCCCCTGCTATTTGCTTTTGCCTCAGTACAGATGACATTTAGTAAGTAACCACATTGTTCAACTGAAGTATTTCCCCCTGAAGCTGCAAGAACCAGTTTTGTTGGTCTGGTTGTCTGATACTCTTTTGCCTAGGAAGGAGCCTTCACTCCCAGCCCTTGCTCTACTTTATCTGATGGATATTTCACTGTCTCTCCCTCTGTCACAGCCTCTCCAACCCTCCCTGTTCTGGTACTACCTGCTGGAGCTCTCCTTCTACTGGTCACTGGTCTTCACCCTGCCCTTTGATGTGAAGAGGAAGGTGAGTGGCAGCCTCAGGGATGAATCAAGCACAAACAGGACCCAAGCTGAACACTCAGGAGAGTGATCTCCAAGAGCACATGTGTAGTGCTAGTCTGAGGTTTTCAGTGACTCTGTCCTTGCTCATTCCCAGGAATTTCCATTCCCGTTCACTGGCTTCCCTCTCCTCTGGGAAGTGGAGAACACAAACCCTGACGTAGAAAGGTGCAAACTACTGCAGAGTTCTCAATCCAAACTTAAAATCCAAACTTAAAAATTGCCCTTAGAATCATAGAATGCTTTAGGTTGGAAGGGACCTTGAGAGATCATCGAGCCCAACCCCCCTGCAGTAAGCAGGGATTGAACCTGTGAACTTGGTGTTATTAGCACCATGCTCTAACCAACTGAGCTAACCTAGCTGGTCACTTCTGGGACTCTTCTAAGTTGCACTGATCGTAGAGATAGGAAAAGAGATGATTCTCTGCTAGTTAAGCTGCATGCGTTCCTAGGTGCTAGTGGCCTCATAGACAGGGTGCTGCGTGATTACATGGCCAAACGTGCATTGAGGCTGCGAATATACCCATAGAAGTAAAGGGTGGTTGTGAGTCTCCATCAGCGAGCCTGGTAGGTGTCCACAGTGGCACAGAGCAAAGATGATATGGGCACTCCTTTGTGACAGAAAGGAAGCTCTCTTTATGTTGAATTTGTCTGTATTGAATCATTGGTTCTTACTCTTCTGTCTTCTGATTTGCACCATCATCAGACCATTACTGGTGGAGAGAGAGAGTGTTCTTTGTTGTGAGATCCTCAGTTTACACCATAAACTCTTCATTTCTGGGTCTCTTGGTTGCCTACATTTCTAGAATGTGTTTGGTGAAAGTTATATGGGTGGGAGGTTTCATACGCATTGGGTAGAGAGATTTCATTGCTACCTGCAGGAGGCATGCTTTAACCAGGGCAGAAGGTGCGTTACGTATTTTATTCGCGGCTGTCCTCTTTCTCATCAGGACTTCAAGGAGCAGATAGTCCATCATGCTGCAACCATATTCCTGATCAGTTTCTCATACTGTGCCAATTACATCCGCATTGGGACACTGGTGATGGTGATTCATGATGCTTCTGATTGCTTCCTAGAGGTGAGCTCCACAACTTACATGCCAGGCAAAGCCTAGTTAGCAATGGGTCAGCCAAAGGGTGTCTTTTAATGTAACATAGTATGGGTCAAGCATTATGGTGTTTCACAGATAACTCAGTACTGATCTGCTGACCTGGCCTAGGGTGCCCTGCAAAGAAGCGGGAAGAGGAATGATTACCTGCATGCAGATTGTATCGTATCTGGCATTAGCCTCCTGGAGCACGTGCAGATGCACTGTCTTGGCCTGCTGTTTTATTGTTCTTTCTCCTTCCAGCCAACTAAGATATTCAATTACATGAAGTGGAAAAAAACTTGTGACAGCCTTTTTATGATCTTCTCAGCTGTTTTCCTCGTCAGCCGCCTGGTCATTTTCCCCTACACGTGAGTCTGCTGCAATCCAGGGAAATGGAAAAGCTGCCTTCTGAGAGACAGGATAATTCAGCTGGGTGCTGAATCTTTTGCTGTAGCCTTTGCTTTTCAGTCCTGGAGTATACATCCCTGCCCTTTGCATAGGCTACAGTGCCACGTGGCTGTTGCACCTGCCTTGGGGTAAACTAGGGTGATCTGCCATGGAGTTCATAGAGTAGTCTTAACGTCCTGAAGTATACTGCAGAGGAGAAGTCTTCAGCCTATGGCTCTACCCTGCTTATTTCTGGTGGGGAACTGAGAGTTAGCTCACGTGTTATATATGAGAAGGAGGTGACTGACCTGAAACTTTCTCTATGACTAGAGCTTTCTGGGGATTAATTACAGCCCTACTAACAACATGCTTTCCCTCCACTGCAATTCCCTCTCTCTTGCAGAGTGCTCTATAACACCTACTATTACTCCATGGAGATATTCCAACCCTTCTTTGGATACTACTTCATGAATGCTCTCCTGATAATTCTGCAGCTGCTCCATGTCTTCTGGTCCTGCCTAATTATTCACATGGTCTACAAGTTCATCCTCCAGGGCACGGTATGGATCAGTTTGTAGTCCCCTGTACATCACATGGGGAGGGAGGGTCCACCTAGACTGCTTGGGAGCACAGGGGTTCATCTGGGACAGATTCCTTCTTGCCCTAGTGAAATTATACACGTACATTCCTAACAGTGAGGTGAAAGGAACACTCAATATTATTAGGGAAAGTTGACCAAAAAACCATAAAATTTTTATGAGTCACTACAATATTGGTTCCACTTCTGATGCTTGTGTTCAAGAAAAATGCGGACTGGACTCCAGGGGAGATTTCCATGAGGAAAGCCAGTGACATCTGAGTAAAGATCCCTACATTTGTTCCAGTATGATTTGCATTTGTAACAAAACTAAGAAATCAAGGCAGGGAAAGTTGTCGTGATTGGTGAGGCCAGTGCAAAAGTGCTTCCCTTATAGTACAGGATTTACTGTAGTTACTGAGATCACAGAATCACAGAATGGCTGAGGTTGGAAGGTATCTCTGGAAATCTTGTCCATATTCCCTGGTTCAGGCAAGGTCATATAGACTAGGTTGCCCAGGACCATGTCCAGACAGCTTTTGAGTATCTCCAAGGATGGAGACTCCACAACCTCTCTGGACAACCTGTGCCAGTGCTTGGTCACCCCCTCAGTAAAGTGTTTCCTGATGTTCAGAGGGAGCCGCCTGTGTTTCAGTTTGTGCCCATTGCCTCTTGTCCTGTCACTGGGCAGTATTGAGAAGAGCGTGGCTCCATCTTCTTTACACCCTCCCTTCAGGTATTAATATACATTGGTAACATGCCTCTGAGCCTTCCCTTCTCCAGACTGAACAGTCCCAGCTCTCTCAGCCTTTCCTCATGTAAGGACCCTTCATCATCTTTGCAGTCCTTCGCTGGAGACTCTCCAGTATGTCCATGTCTGTCTTGTACTGAGGAGCCCAGAACTGGACACAGCATGCCAGGTGTGGCCAGTGCTGAGTAGAGAGGAAGGATCATCTCCCTTGACCTGCTGGCAACCCCCTCCTAATGCAGGCCAGGAAGGGCAAGGGCACATTGCTGGCTCGTGTTCAGCATGTGTTTGCCAGGACCTCCAGGTTTTTCTTAGAAAAGCTGGTCAGCCCCCAGCATGTACTGGTGCCTGGGGTTGTTCCTCCCCAGGTGCAAGACTTCATGCTTCCCCTTGTTGAAATTCACAATTTCAGCCCACTTCTCCAGCCTGTTAAGGTTCCTCTGGATGGCAGTACGATCCTCTGGCATGTCAACCACTCCTCCCAGCTTTGTATCTTCAGCAAACTTGCTTAGCGTACACTCTGCCCCATCATCCAGATCATTAATACATGTTTTGTATGGATTGTCTTACAGTGCTGTAGATGTCTACATCTACAGAGTAGATATTTCTGTCTAAACTAGCTGTCTGGACTCTTTGTAGCAGTGGATGTAAACAGGCATGCCCAAAGCATAATCCATTCAAGATTGTACCCAGGTAGTGCTGTTCATCTCTATCAGTCATAGAGCAACGCTAGATGAATGTCTGAGATGCAGCTGTATAAACTTAAGTGAAATGCATCCCACTCTTTCTGACCATAGCCGGTAGTATTTGCTGTGAGACCAAACTGTGGCTCAACATGAAATTTTTCTCAAAATCAAAGACATGACCTAATGGCATTAGATTGGCCACATGCCAGGGACACAGTCCAGGAGTAACAAGTCAGTGCCTTGTGGGAGTTGACCTCATAGCCCAGGATGAGTTGTTTTATTAGTATCCAACTGGGGAATTCTGTCTTATGGGAACTGAGAATGAACATTAAAGGCTCATCTTCATACATATTGTCCCTATTTTCTTTATCTGCCTTCCGTTAAGGTAGCACAGAGCAAATTACTTGCAAATTAGGAAACATAAACTTCACACAGGGCAGAAAATGAAGACGCAACTGAAGACGCCCTTTTATTGTTTTCCTAATTCTACTGTGGGCTGAATTACCATTGCAGTTATTACAGTGTAAAATGATGAGGTAATAAATACCCTTATTAGAAAGAAATGAACCATCAGGGAGAAAAATACTGAAACATATCCAGAATTTTTCCTATTTTATCTAAAAATCATCTGCCACATTTGGTGAAAAAATGTATTTGAGAGCTTTCCATATTGAGCAGTGAATAGCAAAGAAAAATTGTCCTAAACAGACCTGTTTCAATGATGATATTTAGTAGCCCAAAGCAGTATCAGCAAGAATACAGGACATTCTCCCCTTTCTGAGAGCCATGATATTCTCACTCCAGTCAGAAGTTCACATTCTTCTCATGGGCCTTTCTGATCTCCACAGTTTTCCTCTCTGGCTATGGGATTATCTGCACCACCTTCTCACATGATGTCCCCTAATCCCCGGTAATTAAAACTCAGCCTAGATCCTGAAGGATGAGTTTCACTCCCTCATACAGGCAACCTGAGATAACATTGTTGTAATTTGTGCAGCTATATAGTTCCTTTGTGAATCTTGCTAGGTTTAAGGCCTCAGCCACATTCTATGGCCGTGAATGGATAAACTTAGGAATATTGATTACTATTTGTCCTTACGCTGCAGATCAAGACTCCTGCATAGTTCCTGAACTGCCAATTCCAGAATGACATGAAGTCCAGGTTGTACACAGAAGATAGCATCTCCTACCCATATTGTCCTTGGAGGCAGTTTGAATTCAGTGAAAGTTTAGATTCTTACAAATCCTGTCTGCATTTGGGTGTAGTGATCTCTAGGAAGAGCATCAGACCGAGTATGTTCCAAGACATATCCCCAGAAGAACAGAGTAAATGGAGACTACAGGTGTCCATGCAGCAACTGACATGCCTGTGAGCAGTTTCCAAAGCTCAGGTTACAGGGGGTTTGCCGCTTTCCTTCAGAGCACTCTTTCCAACAAGGAGAGTGACACCGTGAATTTGTCCCCAATTTGGCATCTTGTATTGCAGAGTAGAAACAGCCTGGGAAGCCAGCAAGTGTTTTTTAAGCTTTTTTAAGCTAATTTTATCACATTGTCTCTTCTTTGTCTTCCTTTTAAAGCAATGAATTAAATATTTACAAAATGGATTATAGATCTCTCTTTCTCAATAGCAAGAGGAAAAACCTGAACGTAAAACTGAATGTAATCAGAGTTGAGTGGCTTTGTGTTAAGCTATTGGTTTGTTTGAAAGCATATGCTTTTGCTCAACCTGCAGCCACCCAGGCCAAGGGTGGTCAGGAGCTATCTCCTTGTCCCTTTTGGAAAATGTAAAAGAGCTTGATTAACTGCTCCCCCCATCCTTCTGCATGCTGATGCCCAAAGCAGCAGTGTGGATCTCCTCAGTCTTACACAGTTGTCCTCAGTCCTGGGCATTTGTGGTTTGGTGCTGCTTCTCAGCCTGTACAGTAATTCCCAATATTTATCAGAATCACAGCTAGGATTCCACTGAGGCTGAAGTCAAAGAGACGGAGAGACTCTGTTTCCAAAGGTGATGTAAAAGCTGAAAGGACACAGTAGAACTGTGTGCCAAAGGCAAGTGGCTGAAATAGCAGATGAATGTTTAGCCTGTGGCTCAGCTAGCACTGCTTCTTGTGCAGACTTCTATGTTTGTATTGCTTCTCATTTACGTTTTTCTGTAGATGGAAAAGGACATGAGAAGTGACACAGAAGAAAGTGACAAGGATGAAGAAAGAGAAAAGATTAGGGAAAAGGAGAAAAACGGGATCACATATTTCAGCAACATCACAAGCAACAATTACATCCGGAGGAATGGGTCTGAGCCACTGAACAACAGAACCCACCTCACCAATGGCCATGTCAAGGAAAGATAGCTACGGTTCACGTGCTTCTGATCTGGTCTTTAGTGAATTCAGTCCACTGTCTTTAGAAACAGGTTTGCTCATTGTGTAGATAAATTGGAGTGTAATTGCAGTATCATAGCTGAATTCCTGCTTCCCCTAAACAGAATTGTTTATAGTCAGTGATATTTGAAGGAAGTTTTTGGTCTTTCTTCAATAAAAGCTTACTATAGGTTGTAGCCTTGAAGCAGATAGAAAGGGATCAAAGTGCTTTGACTTGTATTAGACTGTACCATAGTTGTTGTTAAATGCGTTAATCTTGAAAAATACTTTACAAAAAAAAAGGTGGATAAACTCTGGCAATGTCAAGTCTTAACCACCTAATGTTGTTTGGTAGGAATTTGTTTAGCCTTGATCAGCCTCTGGCGGCCCTGGCCCATTGCCAGTAGTGATTAAGGCTAACAAGTAAGTGTGACACTCTAAATCTTAATACAGGGACACCTCTTTTGAGAAGACAAGTGCCCCATACACACTCAGAAAATTAAAACAGAGCATAATGGAATGAAAGCTTTGGAAAGACATAGGAGAAAACATTTTCTTCTCAAAGGAAATGCTGCTGTGCCATATGAACAGTTTTGTTGTGGTATGGATCTCAGTACCTTCTGTTGTCAGCATTATTGCCACAAAGGTGGGAACTCCAAAGCCCAGATTGGAGGGAGTACCCACCCAAATCATAGTTGGAAGACCTAGAAAATCCAGGCAGCTGTGTCTCAACTGTCAGGTAATCCTTTAAACCTGTCTCGAAAGGAAACACAGAAGAAGGGAGGTGACAAGAAACTAGATAATCTAGAAGGCAACACTGATTAAGTGCTCATGTTTTCACCTAGTGTGATTGGCACAGTGGGAAATGTTTCCAGAGTCAGCTTGTGGCAAGAAGGGAATACATTTCCCCTATCCTCAGAGGATTGCTGAACCTTATGGAATAATGCTTTAACATGGCTTTCTAACTCTAGGGCCTTTGCCTGGATGTATCAAGAATAGCAAGTTTAAAGCAGTAGTCCATGAAGTCATGATGCAGTTCTGATTCAGTTTGTTTAGATGTCCTATATTTTATATGCCATGTAGTCTTAGACTTTGGATTCTGTAATCCCTTAAAAGAGTTTAATTAGTATGACATGAATTACTGTTTTATAGATCAATTAATCTATGAAACCAAAGTATTAACAGATTCACTGTAATGAGTGCAGGGACTTAGACTGCCAAGGCCGTGCAGACACTTCCCTTTATGTGCCCAGTAAGGGCCAATGCTAAGTCGGACCAAGGAAATGCCCGATTTGAGGAGGTGGTGCACATTTAAAATTAAAAGGCAAGTGATAGCATAGAAGATGAGGGTTTTCTGCAACCCACTCAGTTCACCTGAGATGTGACTGAGAGCGCTTTGATCTGAGCTTGTATGTGTTCATCTTAGGTTTCAGTCAAAATACATTGGATAATTTCAGAGGGGAAAAAGTGGTTCCAGCACAGGAGATTCCAGGGCAGTAGCGTGCTCTGGGAGGAGAGCATCTGTTCCTGCATTGTCATTTAAATTCACATTTGCTGAAGGTAGTTTGTCTCTGAAACCTTGAGCTAATTTGAAGTTCAAAGTACATGTTCTGTATACTATCATGTTTCTTTGAGTATAGTCTTGCCACTCCTCTGCAGGTGATGTATTCAGGAGGGATGGTTATATATCATTTCGTACTACTGAATGTAACCGTCCTTTATAAAGTACTTTTGAAAGATGTGATTGTCTGGTCTCTTTTCTACTTCTTTAACCAGCAGGAGGTAACCTGGCTAGTTGCACCTTGTAAGTGGATGTGTGATGAGGGAGATGTGTATGGGTGCCATTGCCAAGGTCAATACACGTGCAGCATGGATGTTGCATACCCAGCACATGCAGCCATACTAGGCCATGCCAGTAGAGAACTGCCGCTGCCTGATTGGTCTCCTACTAGGTCAAGATGTGTTTGGCCCTGGAACAAGGGACACTTTGGGGCTCTCCTGCACTAGACCTAGGGGCAGGCCAGGTTACTTGGCACTGCCAGAGCAGTGGCAAGTCATAGAATCATAGAATCATAGAATGCTTTGGATTGGAAGGGACCTTGAGAGATCATTGAGCCCAACCCCGCTGCAGTAAGCAGGGATTGAACCTGTGAACTTGGTGTTATTAGCACCATGCTCTAACCAACTGAGCTAACCCAGCTGGTCAAGTCCAAGATTGCAGCACTGGGAAGATGCTTTGGACTTGCTAGGATAGGAGGAGAGAAGTTAATGTCTATTCTTCTTTTTCATGAGGTTTTAGAAGGCTAGGAAAGATCCCTGTTGTAAAATCACAACACCTCTCACCTGAGGAGCAGACTGCTTCCCAGATACTGCACAATGCACTGTGGAGCCAGTGCATACATTGATGCCTGCTGATTTTTATCCTCAGGGCTTTGCTGTCCCCCTGAAGATTGAGATAAACTCATTAAGAGGCAAATCTGGTTCTTGTGAAAGGATACATCAAGGATTCAGGAGAGCTCTTGGACTTGATTAAGAACTACTGAGTGCTGCTTTTAGCTGAGGAACTGAGCATGACAGTGATGGGTCACTGGGGCAGATCAACTGCCAAATTTGTTTTCTTGCCATCAGCTTGCTAAGGCTTAAAGAAGCTCTGTGTGTAATCAGCTTCTTCCCCACATTGCTCCACCTTCTCTCTTTACATCTGCTCCAGTCTTGGGAAGCTTTTAAGTGCTGTGATAGTATTAATGAATTTAATGTATCAACTCCCTCTACGCCCTCCATGCTAGGGTCATCACAGCTGCCAACACAGAGAAGCTGTTGTAGAAAAGCTGCAGCAAGACTGTCACTTTGCTGAAAAACCCAGCACAGCGGATGGAGCACTGGGCACCACAGCAGAATCGGAATCTATTTCCCCTGTATCTTTATCACCCCATGTGCACAGGGGAGGCATGCATCACATAATGTTATCAAGCAGCTGTGGGAGATGAGGTGTCCAGCTCCAGGTGAACTATGAGAAAAAGAATATTTACTGGTGCTCCCATGCTGCTCTGTGGTGGGTGAGTCGAGGACTGGCAAAGCATGGCACCCAGGCGGGCATCTGGCCATCCTAGCCCAAAACTGTGGCTGACATGAATCTGCTGACTCCAGTAGATGTGGACATCTAGTGTTGTTTTGGATCTGATTTTGAGAGCAGTTTGGCACGGTTGTTCCCTGCACACACTTGAGAAAGAGCAGAGGTGTGCATCCACCACATTTTTTTCATTTAGACATGGGAACCTTAGCTTGGATGGCTACACTTTGGAAGACATTGCTTTTCTCGTTCGCATATGTACAACAGACACAGTGCCTGCAGGTAAGGGCGTCCCTTAGAAACAGCTAGGCATTGTTCAAAAAGCTGAAGTCATATCTAAACAAGGGAAGTGGAAAAGACCTGTAACTTCGGCAGATTAATGTGAACATGCAATAAAGCAGGCCAAGAAGTATCTTGAGAAACAACTTGAAAGGGAATACCAATCTCTGAAACACTGGAAAGACTGCAGGAGTCATAGATAGTCAAGGCATATAGCAAGAACACTGAGACAACATCAGGCTAGAGCCAAAAAATGCAATGAGCTGCCTGCATATGACTTCCCTGCTTAGAAGCTCAGAGAGGGTCCAATACCTGACATTTTGCTGAGGCTACATCCCAAGAGGATCCATCTCAAGCTGATAGGTGAGAAGACATTATATGGCAAACAGACTAACTGAATAATAGTAAACCTTCAAACCTGGGTGGCATTCAGTCAAGTGTCAAGAGGAAACTTGTACTAGAAGAAGTTAAACTATCAACTGTGGAATGCCATTTTTTGTTTCAAATCATCTTGTTATCAGAAAAATTTAAGTAGGTTCCAGGTGGGAATATGAGGAGCTAAAGCTATCTGTAGTCCAACATCCAGACTGGTCAGACTGGTAGAAAGTGTGTTAAATGATGGAATTTGTGGAAACACAAACATAATATTATAGGAAAGAGCCCCCATGGATTGTGTATGCAGAAGTTATATCTCATTGCTGGAGTTATCCCAAAGAGTCAGTGAGCACACATAGAGGAGAGAACCTGCTACCTACTGAGCTTTGCAAAGGCACTCAGAAAGGACCCTCACCACAGACTTAAAGAAATCCACCTGAGGTTACCATGAGAGACCAATGGGGATTTTTTGCAGCTATGTATTGTTACAGGTGCACCAAAAAGGGGGAGTGAAAGGCAGATGGCAAAATTGGCTGATAATGAAAGTTACTCATGATGATGATGCAGACTGACTGCAAGCAGTTGTAGAAGGGTTTACGGTGCTGAGGGATGAGTGATAAAACACAAGTGAAATTGAATATGAAGGAGAGCAATGTGGTGCACATGAGAAAGTCTCCTGAAGTGCTGGGCTGAGTGTTAGCACTTCAGAAGAGCTTTGGGGAGTGATATATCAACTTAGTGCTCAGTATGTGATGGTTCAAAATGCAAATAGGATATGGGATGTTACTGGGCAAGATGGAGGAACCAAAACTGAGACTGTTGGGGCCGTAAGGGTGCCAGAAGATCTCAATGGCTGTGGCCAGCCTCACCTGGAACCTCCCTCCACAACCCTCTGCCAGGTGTCAGAGCTGATTAGTAGGTGAGGGCTTTGCAGCCTGGGAAGAAAAGGCTGGTAGAAAGAGGGGGCAAGAGAGAAGCTCCTGCTGTTATTGTCACTAGGTAGGGGCTTCAGTCATCTGTGCAGCAGTGTGTAATTGAAGTTAGCCACCTCCTTGACACCCTCTAAATTACTTTCTTGTACTAGGACATCTTACCCCACCTCCAAGCTCACAGGCAGGTCAGAACAAGTGATGCTATTTCAACGTCTGAAGTCATACTCATGGGACTGAGTGAGAGGTGGGGAGTGTCAGTGATGAGCTGTTGAGCTGGGAATCCTGATTTAGGAGTGAGTTTCATGTCTTGCTGCTACCTGCTTGCTGAGTCCTAGAGCCTCTGCTTTCTGTGCCCACCCTCTTGACCAGGATGGGACTGTCAGAGGGATTCTGGCACCATGAATACTGGCTGCCACCTGGAGCTACCTGGAAAGACATGAGAGAGTCTGAAGACATACACTACCCACAGCCTCAGGACCTCTTGC